AGGCTAGTGTCTAGTGGTCAGCCCTGGTCTCTCCCTGCAGCCCGGAAGCAGGAAATCATCAAGACCACAGAGCAGCTCATCGAGGCAGTCAACAACGGCGACTTTGAGGCCTATGCGTGAGTCTCCCGGGGGGCTGGGGTGGGGGGTTGTGGAGGGTGAGGATGGAGGATGGGTCCCCTCCTCACTTGGGTTTGCCCCCCAGGAAAATCTGTGACCCAGGCCTGACCTCATTTGAGCCTGAAGCTCTGGGCAACCTAGTCGAAGGGATGGATTTCCACAGATTCTACTTCGAGAACCGTGAGTGAGGAAGTCAGGGTGGCCGTGAGGGGGAGACACCATCAGGGGGCTCCCTTAACCCCTCGGTCAGGGGGAGGGCTGTGGCAGCCCCCATGAAGGGGATTCAAGGTGGGAGGGGTCCGTACCCGGTGCTGAGAGTGCGGGATACCTGCCTGTCCACAGTGCTGGCCAAGAACAGCAAGCCGATCCACACCACCATCCTGAACCCGCACGTGCACGTCATCGGGGAGGACGCAGCCTGCATCGCCTACATCCGCCTCACCCAGTACATCGATGGCCAGGGCCGGCCCCGCACCAGCCAGTCCGAGGAGACCCGCGTGTGGCACCGGCGAGATGGCAAGTGGCAGAATGTACATTTCCACTGCTCGGGCGCTCCCGTGGCCCCACTGCAGTGAGGTGAGTGCCGGGGGTGTGGCCGGCCAGTGTGTGGGGTACTCGGACAGGTGAGCTGATGAAGCCCGAGTCTCGTGGGTCGGGGATGGAGTCAGGGATCAGGGTGGGTCCTGAGCGCTGCTCATTGTAACCCTTAGCACCCACGGCAGGGGCTGCTTAGGTAACGGGGTGAGGGTAGCAGCTGCCTCTCCTGGCAGGGCCCTTCCTGAGGGGGCATTAACTTGATGGCTTCCGGCCACGCCCTTTTCCAAGTAGCAAAGGCTTGGGTCCTTAGGGCGGGGGTGATGATCTGAGGAAGGTGACCTGCCCTCCTGTTTCAGAGCTGCGCCTGGTTTCACCGGACAGAGTTGGTGTTTGGAGCCCAGCCGCCTTCGGGCGCCCGGCCTGCCTGTCGCATGTTTGTGTCTGCCTCGTCCCCTCCCCTGGTGCCTGTGTCTGCAGAAAAACAAGACCAGATGTGATTTGTTTTTAAAAATAAGATGACAACAACAACCACACGCAAAAAAACAAAACAAAAAAAAAAAGGAAAAAAAGGAAAAAAAAGAAAAAAAGAAAAAGAAAAAAATTGGCATCGGATGAAATGGAAAAACAAAAAACTAAAGAAAGGAAAAAGCTGTAAAAAAAAAAATCTGGCATTTGTGGGGCCACCCCCCGACCCAAGCTCCACACGTGTCTGTTGCGCTCCTGGCTTTGGGGACCCTCAGGGCGTGAATGTGCCCGTGCTGACCGTGTTAGTCTGTAGGTACCGCACTCACCCCACACCTTGGGCGTCTGCATCCTCCCTCCCATGCATGGGCCCCATGCTAACCTGCCTGTTGTGGTGTCAGGTGTCTTGGGAAGGGCTGGGGGCTGCCTCCTTACCCGCTAGTTGTGCCTGAGAGAGAGTTGCTGCTGTTCCTGCTTCCCGCCGCCGTCCCTCATCCCGTGAAGGGCTGGGTGGGTGCTCCTCTAGCCAAGGACCTACCTTCGCCCCGTGGAGTGTGCCGAAGCTTGTCCTTGAGGTCGTCGTCGGAGAACTTGGGCTCTCGGCTCTGGTTCTTTGGGGAGTGAGGTGTGGAGGTGCTGTCTTGCCTCCAGGCCTCATGCCCGGCAAGGGTTGCTTGAGAAGGCATGTATTGCCTGACCGCCTGGCTATGAAGAGAGCACTGGGCCAGAGGATGGCCTCCTTCCTGTTTGGGGCACTTGACCCTTCCCTGACACCAGCAGCAGAGCAACAACAGTGGCCCACCCCTGGCCTGGGCGGTTCCTTTCTGTGACGTTGGCAGCAGACCCACCAAGGACTGAGGACCTGAAATACCGGACGGGGATGCTGGGAGCAGGCCAGACTGCATCTAGGGTGTTTGCCCACTGAGCTTGGAGTCTGGGTGCTCGAGTCTTGGTTGAATGGTGCAGAATGTGGTAAAGAGGGACCAGATGATGGGTTCTAGGCTCCGGGCAATGCAGGTCCACACAGGTGTTTGATGAAGTTAGGCATGCTCTCCTAACCTGGGCCTAGAGCTGAAGCCAGAGCAGAGCCGGCCAGGGGCACATGCAAGGACAGAATTGGTTAGGGCTGTGTTGTGTGAGGCCCTTCCAGGTGGGCCAGAGACAGCCTGGAGAGAAGGCAGGCTGGGGGTAGAGATGGATGGGCGTGGGGCCTGGAAACCAATGGGTGGAAGGGGGGTCCATTAGGACAGTGTGCTGCCTCCAGGGCCCAGTGGTGTTCCTAGGTGCCGGCTGTTTATTGTGGGTGGCCCTGGCCCTTGGTGATAGACGGGATCACAAGGCTGGAAACATTATGGAGTCAGGCTAGGGAGAAAGGTATGAAGCCGTGTTGGGTGGGAGTGGTCAGGAGCTTTGATTGCAGAAGTCCAAGGGCCTCCACCCCAGTGCTGCCCACTTCAAATTCACATCATTTTCAACCAGGATTTTCTTTATCTTCTACAAATCAAGCCAGGGGAGGGGCATGAAGTGGGGGACGGGACACAGGATCCTAAACTCCAAGGGGACTGTCCACCTACAGACACTCAGTGGATATCACCTTTCATCCACACTGTGCCCAGGACAGCTGTCTCCTACCCATGGACACAGGGTAAACATCTGCCAGGCTCCACTTGAGTGGCCCAAGGCCATGGAGTGGCAGGGCTTGCCACGGACAGTGTGAGGCCCTGTGACCAGCCACCCTGGCATCCTGGGGTCCCCTTTCCTCTCCCCACCCACCTTGTTATCTCCACAAAGCTGCCTGTCTGGGATAATTTGGGGATTTTTTTTTTTCTGGGGACAATTCTTTTGCATGACCCTCTAAAGAGTAGGTCACTCCTGCTCTGCTGGCTAGGTGTTCTCGGGTGGTGGCGTCGGCCGCTGGCCGGTACTGCAGCATGTCACTGCCTGCAGTACTGGCGGCCCTCCTCTTCTTTTTGCTGAGTTCCATTGTCTTTTCTTTCTGAGCCTTGTAGGTGTACAAAATTTATTCTTATTTTGTTCTGTCTCGGGAAACTGCAAATAAAAAAAAAAAAAAAGACAACCTGCTTCAAGTAGAACTGAGTGCTATGTGCTGGGACCCTGCTGGACAATACAGACCCATCTGCTCCCTAGCCTAGACGTGGTCAGAGTGAAGGACATGGGTTCCTAAGCCCCTTCTGGGGATCAGTGAGGCATAGCCTTCTCTTTATCCCTTAGTGCCTCCATCCCCAAAGCCCTGTCCTTGCCCGTCATCCCAGTCACCAGAAGGGTGGCCTCCAGAAAGGGCAGCCACTGTGCAGGGAGGAGTCCCAGGTCCAAGATCCAAGTGTCCTCTTCAGCCACTTTCAAGACCTTCCTATGATGTGTTGACTGTTCTAGACATGAAGTCATGTGTTAAGTACCCCCGACTCTGTTCCCATGGGTTATGTAGACAGCACAGCATTTACATGGTAACCATCATGGGTGGTATTAAGAGGTTTAGCAGAGACGCTCAACCTGGAGCCCAAGTCAGAGATCTTAACCAAGAGCAAAGACACTCCAAGAGTCAGAACAAAGACCATGGCCAGGTGCTGGGGTCTCTGGGCCAACTCCGTCGTGGCTGCAACACAGAGAAGCCCCCTCCCTCCCCAGGCTTTGCATAGGGCAAATCTTCCCTGTAATCTGTGCTGGTCCTGTCCTGTCTTCAAGCTTTGCTCAAAAGCCTGCCAATATGAGCCCCTATACCTCCCGTCCTATCCACTAGGAGCAGGAGGCCCAAGGGGTCCAGAACTGGCCAGCATTCCCAACTACCTCTTCCATCCCAAGCATGTTTTGAGACACGTTCACTTTGTAAAGGAGGCCATTGATGTCTACCTCGTGGTCTCTGTGGGCTACACCCAGGGAGGTGCTTTCAGGTAGATGGGCAGGCAGGCAGTAGGTCTTGAGAGCTCATACAAAGAATCTAGGCCAGTGTCCACAGGTGCAGCAGGGTTCCAGTCACCTATCAGCTGTAATCGGAGGAGCGTTTCCAGGCCAGGCCTCCCTCAGGAAGGCAGCAAGCTGCACAGTGAGCCTCCACCATGCATTATTCCTGAAGCCTTTCTGGGGATGTTGGACAGCAGGGCCGTGATGACAGGGTTTTCAAGGCAGTATCCAGGGGTAACCATCCCATATTGGGCTGAGTACTACAGGCAAGAGGGACACTTCTGAAGAACGTTTCATTCATCATTTCTAAACAGCACTTACTTTGAGCTTAGGCATCTGTCCCCCAGGAAGGTTCAGGTTACTCTGAACTCTCCTAGGTCCACAGACCAGGAAAAGGCAGCACACTGGATCCAGGGCTGCTTGCCCAAGCCACACAGAGGGGTCTGTGACAAGGACATCAAGCACAGGCTGAAAGCCAGGCCTAGTTGACCTTCTGAGACAGAGGCCACAGATACCTCAGGCCACTAATTGCTAGCCACTGGGGCCATTCCAAAACTCAAAAGCACACTCCAGATTTGAATATTCCCATCCTGACCCTCACAAGTTAGCTGTGCGTCTCGGGTCAGGAGTCCTCACAAACCCTGGAAAGCTAGGTGGCTTGGAGCCAGCCTACACTGAATGGGAAACTTGGGCAAAATAAAGCCTCCTTCCCGGGGCTCTATTGCTAAGAGGCAGCTCTCCCAGGCAAATTCTGCAGTGTGCAGAGAACTGGGTTCTGAGATGGCAAGGCTACTCCAGAGCTCCCTCACCTGGTTAACAGCAAACAGGGAAATAGGATTCCTACCAGAACGGCCTGGAGGTTTATCTGGGACAGGATCCTAGTACCTGCAGGAACAAAGTACAGTATCTCCCCACTCCTCGGTGGCTGGGTTGGGGACAGAGCTAAAAGGAACACAAGACAGTACTGGAATTTCAAAAGACAATTTTATTGAGACAGAAACTTTCAAACAGAACAGAGAAATTAGGCATTATTAAAATACACTTTTGCCAAGTGATTTAACATTAGAATAATGGGGGATGGGAAACACATGGCAACTCGATCCATCGCAGGGCGAGGGATACCTTGTAGGACAGCCTTATGTGGGCAAAGGTTACCTCTTTCCTGCAAATGTCTTCCTCCACCCACCCCCATTCTTCCTCAGCACCCTCCAGAGTAAGAAGAGAACCAGGCAGCACTCCAGGCCATTGACTCCACCCTGAGTGCCAGCGAGACTGGACCCGTGCTGTCTGGGGGCCCTGGGCTGGCGAGGTCTATGGCAGCAGAAATGACATGGGCAGGCCGCTCCAGGGCAGAGCCTGAGCCTTTGACTAGCGGAACCCAGAGAAATAGGCAGATACCAGGAAGGAAGGATTTTGGAAGCCATAGCAGACACCCCACCCCTCATGGGCACTCTGAGGGTAGCTCAACAGGCTCGGGGATCATCGGAGTAAGACAGCTCTGGTTCAAAACTCATAGAGGCTAGCGTCCCAGCGGTTGTTTCTGGGGAGACAGGATCTCACGATATACTGTGCACAGCAGAACATGAAGAGGCGATGTGAGACCCAGCACATCCTGGGGTCACCACAGACTGTGCTGGCAGTGGGTGCTAGCTCAGACCAACCCCTCAACCTCCTCCACCCTGCAGCTGTCTCTGACTGGAAAGGGGCTTGTAGGTCAGAGCTGGACAGACCACGGTGAATGCTGGGAATCTTCGGGCTGCTGGCACCTGCCCTGGGACCCACAGGAGAGACTTGCTCAAACATGCGGGCCCCAGGCAGTTGCCAAGACAGTCTTGTAGACACAGAGACCAATAAACCGGCTCCGAGAGATGACAGCCCCCACTACTTTGATCTTGAGGTCCTAAGTCCGACTGCAAGTCAAAGTGAGTGCGCCTCCACACTGGACAGCTGAGGGCACCTGTGTGCTTCTCCCCTGAAGATGGACACTACCAGCTGACCCTCCCAACACCAGAACAGCCCCAGTCTGAACAGTCTGCTGGCTGATAGAACCACAACTTACACATCTTGCCCTTCTCAGCCCATTCTAAGGACCTCTCACAAGCCATCTTTGTGTTACTGGATAAAGGTACTTAGGATGGGCCCTGTCCCTGGCAGATGCCAATTCTAGCAGACAGGCAAACCGAATAGGGGAGACCCAGTGACCACTGCCTTTCACAGTCCTGATGCTGGTCATGGTGAGCTTCCCCCAACCCCCACAGTGCAAAAGAGTAGAATTCCGGAGTGTTCCAACTCTGCCTACCCAGCCCTATCACCCGAGACTCCCTCCCCCCACCCCACTCACTGGAGAGTTAATATTATTAATGCACAAATGAAATCCTAAGTCATACCAAGGATCAGGAAAAAGATTCCTTCCCATAGAGCCTTCCAGGGTTAGCTGAGAATAAGCCCTTCAGCACCTATAAGAGCCACTTAGGAGTTTATGGTTTCATTTTCTCAACATTACATCTTTGAGGACCTCAGATTCTTTCCCAAAGTCACAAGCACACATATGAACGTCAATGTTCCCACCCTTAAGTCATCCCCTTCACTCCTCTTGAGAACTTCAAAATAAAAACAGCCAGTCAGCCTGGCTCCAGGTCTTCTTCTAGGGTATCGCTTCATCTTCAGGGGCTGTAGTTCTGATGTGACATGACGATCCAGCGCCTGCCTCTGTGGGCTACATCACATGATTGCACAGCATGAGTTTTGTTTCCGGGCCTTGAAAGAAAGAAGGAAAAAAAAGGAGGATGAAGGGCGCTAAGGAGGGCTGGTGGTCTACAGGGTGCTGAGAAGGGCTGGCGGGCGCGGGTATGGAGTTCCGCTGAGGCAATCAGACAGAGAAAGCAAAGCCAACTTGGCCCTCGAGGCTTCAAAGCAAGCTGCCCACAGCGACACTGCCTCCATTGCTAGTCCAGGCTCCTTACATTTCTTCACACCCCGCTAATGCTCTCAATGAATCTAGAAAGTTCCTGCTGTCAGACCAGGTGTAAGCAACAGAAGCAGCAATGGGAACTGGATGGCCTGAGGGTCTATCTCATGCTATCAGACGGCCCTGACGGTGTTTCTTTCTGGAGTATGGTCTTTCAGAGAAGAAACATGGCTCTGGCTCACGTTTGTAGGGCTGCTATTGTACCTGTTCTTGCTTTCTGATCAAAGACCACCCTCCTAGCCCTACTGGTCATCTTCCTCCAATATGCAACTCAATGTAAATATGCATGGGCAGATTCGTCTCCACTACTATCCCACAATGGGCCAAGAATACAATGTTGGGGCTGGGGAGATGGCTCAGCAGTTAAGAGCACTGGCTGCTCTTCCAGGAGATAAGGGTTCAATTCCCATCACCCACATGGCAGCTCACAACTATCTCTAACGCCAGTTTCAAGGAATTCTATGTCCTCTTCTGGCCTCTATGGGCTTCAGGCATTTATGTAGTATACATATATGCATGCAGGCAAAACACCCACACACATTAAACGAAACAGAACAACACAATGTTCACAATTGGAAATTTAAGTAATGCCTGGAGAGAAACTCAGTCAGCAGGAGGAGCCCTGCAATGAGAGAGAAATTCGTCAGAGAACTAATGCATTTAGAAAGGTGAGCTGCTGGCTTCTTAAGGACTAATGCCTAACTGCTCTGCCAACAAGGGAGTCAGAATGGGAAGGGGGTGCTGCTGCCTCTTGAACCCAGCCAGGCAGAGCCTTAGTCAAGTAGAAGAGTGCCTGAGTGTAAGCTGCCAATCACTGGGCTGAAGCACTTGCTTTAGGCTCCCACATCCCAAGGAGCGGTACCCAAATCCTATCTTGGTTAAGTGGAGGGCCAGAGAAACACGCTGCAATCGCTGTGTGGGAGGGGCTACCCCGGAGGGCCAGGCAGCGTTACTCACAGTTTTATAGAAGGCTTTCGACTGTGTTCCCAGTACTTCTGATTTGGAGACCAAGTCATCAAGCTTCTCGCCTCGCTCTAACAAAGACTCCATGGTGTTATGCTGGACAAAAGAGAGAAGAGAACTCTTGGCTCTGCTCAGTTAAGTGGCTGCTGACAACAGGCCCTTATGGAAGCTGAGTGGCTAGAACCCCCTCCTCGGGGCCCCTCCCAGCAGACACCAGTAAGCACTGGGACACAGTCCCAGAAGATACCTCCAGTCGAGTCAATAGCACAGGCAGGGCCTGGGGCTGTCCCAATATTTTTCCCAGCACAGATTCAGGCAAGCACTGCTCTAGGAGAGCTTGTATTTGTACTTGCGTGCTGTAAGCACACACGTGCAGAGGTTTCCATGTGAAGAGAAAGACATATGTGAGTACCACACAACTGTACTAGGATGGACAGTGGCTATCCAAAATTCACATCCACCCAGAACCTCTGGCTGTGACCTTCTTCGGAAATAAGGTCTCTGCAGGTGTCATCAGTTAAGGTGTGGTGGCGATGGATTAGAGTGGCCACAGCCACCTCTTCATCACGACAGAAACGGAGCCCCCAGAGAAGACTGTGGCGACCACAGGAGGACTAAGGCACGGCAAGCACGGCCAGCAGCCGTCTGAAACCAGAGGAAGGCCTAGAGAGACCCTGTTCACACGGCCCCAGAGGGAAGCAGCCTGCGCAAACCTCACTATCAGACCTGCAGCCTCCTGAGGGAGAACGCCCTTCTGCTGTGTGCAGTCATACAGCCACAGGAAACTAACACAGTGACAAAGCTGTGTCACCTGCCAGGAGCCAGGCAGCTACCAAGCACTTGAGGTGAGACAGGTCCTAGCATGTTCTTCATGTGCAAACACAGCAGCTTTCAAGACTCAGGCTCAGTATGCAAACCACTTCACTAGGAGGGCCGGAGAGATGGCTCAGAGGTAAAGAGCACTGGCTCTCTTCCAGAGGACCTGGGTTCGATTCCCAGCACCCACGTGGCAGCTCACAACCATATCTAACTCTAGTCCCAGGTGATTCAATATCTTCTTCTGGCATCCAAGGCACTGCACAAATATTGTGGCAGGCATAACATGCAGGCAAAAACACCCTTACATATAAAATAAAAAATAAAGAAAAAAGTTATAAAAGGAAACACATTAGTGAATTTTTTATTCTGAAGATAGGGTGGAAAGATTTTGGATATTCTAGATTAAATAACATTAAATTTCAATGTTTCCTTTTGTTATTTAAAAATATGGCTCCTTCAAAATTCAGAATTACAGACACAAATCATATACACGATAGATTATGTGCCTACTGGCAGCACCATGACAGGAAACACTGGTCCCTGGGGTGAGCTTTAGTCTGTCGGCACTACAATCCTTGCCTTGGGGAAAGAGGAGGAGAGACAGAGCCCTCCTCACAAGAGCAGTGGTCCTGCTGCCTGGCTCATACTCAAGAGCAGCTCATTTCCTTCCCAGACAGCTACTGCCAGGCAGCTGCACACTTGTGTGCATTGGTATCGACTGAGGAATTATCCTAATTGTCCTTTATTCCTGCACACCGCTGAGCAATTCATGGAACCTGACATGTTAGCCGAAGGCTGGGAATAGAGCTCACTGCAGAAGCTCACCTGGCAGCAGACACTAGGCTCACACGGACTCCCAGCTTGTAGAGGTGCTGGGAACTAAGGTGGGGTACACAGAGAGTGATGAAGTTTCCTGGAGCAGGCTGTGACTATCATAATAAAAATGGACTCTGTTTGGTCAGCGGCACGTTTCCTCTCCACCTTCCTGCTTACCAGAATGATTTTGGTCTCATCCAGTTCAGCTTGTACTTTACTCATGGGATCAGCTTCTCGGGGGTTCTAGGAACCAAAACAAAAGCAAGACTAAGTAAGTATAGAGTCATTGCCTATAAACAAAATCAAACTAAGGAAGCTGAACAAACTCTCACAATAAAAAGGCTTAGGACAGAGAAATCGAAAGCCTGTCTAGAGCTATATTTCTAAGTCTGAAAGTATTTCTCTGTGCTTTTTTCACCTGTACATCAGCCTTGAACTATCATGGTTACTGACCTTGCCCAGATCATAGAGCTTCTGGGCAGTGTCTAGAAGACGTTTCTTTAAACTCACCTGGTATCTACTAAGGTGACTATCCAGGGCTGTGTACTGGATTGTAGCAGGTGATCCTACTGGCCAGTCTATCCTATCGACCTGCTTGGAGAATTCATCTAGTACCTGTAAAACAAAGGAGACGCAACACATCTCCCACCATGGTCCCAGCACCTTCAGTGACCCAGCTTCACCAACAGCACTCATCCCAAATGAGGCTCCTAGGCTCCCCAGGGTACAAGGCCATCTAATGGCAAGAGAATAGTCTAGGTTCAAGTTCCTCTTTTCAAATGTTTAGTCTAGAAACAAAAGGAAAGTGTGCCCAGCCTAGGGTAAACTTCACCTCGAGAATGAAGAAAGTATTCTCATTTTATACTAGTTTTAAACTAGGCCTCTAGTTTTCCAAAGTAATTCTTCAAGAAAGTGATCTAGGTTCTTTGGATGTAAGCAACCACCAGAATCCATGCACCCAGAAGTGTTTAATTCAATGAGGAACAGGACAAGGCAGCTTCTGCCTCCAAGTTTACAAGTAGAAGTTATTGGGTACTAAATACCACAGAGTGGGTGGGAATGGGTATGGTGTGCTGGCACATGCTTTTAACCTCGGTACTCAGGAGACAGAGACAGGTGGAACCCTGAGTTTGAGGCCAACTTGGTCTACATTATGAGTTCTAAGCCAGGCAGGGCTACATAGTAAGACCCTGTCTCAAAAACAAAGCAACAATAAACTCCATGAAGCCACTGACCTACACCAGGGAGAGAGCTACATGAAGGGCAGAGTTAGCACCAAGGAGGAAATATAGAAATATATATAGGTAGGGGTTTCAAGTGTCTCCTGGTTTGGGTGGGAATGATGGCTGAAAATGTGGCCTCCGGACCAGTCATCTGTGTGCTTCAGGTACCAGGTCTACCATGCTCCATACTTGGCATCTCAGTCTAGTCCAACAACACACTCACCTTCTCCAGCAAGGTAAAGGCCACTCTGGAAGGATATTCGCTGTCAGCAATGACCACACCTGCAAGACTGTCACTCCGGACGTAGACATGGCAAAGATACTCTAAGGAGACAAGAGATCTCACATGTGGCTACTGACAGTTTTGAATCTGCCAATGCATCATCATGCTAGCTGCTGCGTTCTAGTCAAACAAAGCCACTCTGAAACCACTGTGAAACTCAACTGCGCTGAGTAGGGAGGCCTACTGAAAGGCTCCTACCACAGTTCTATGGGCCATACCCAGGAGCTGACTAACACCCTACGTTCCCTGAGATGTGTGTGTAATGAGATCAAAATGAGCTGCCAGGGATGGAAAACACACCAGAGGCAATGTCCCTCAGAGCAATTCCAGATCACTGCCTTTAGCTCAGGCCTGGCCTGGCTAAGTCTTAGCAATTTATGGCCCTCTGAGGCTCTGTGCTGTTCCTAAATTGAGGGTACATCAGGCAAGACAAGCTACTTCTACTTTCTTAAAATAATTTCTTAAGAGTAGGTGAGAAGCAGAAAATTACCTCCGAGGGCTTCAATCTTCAATCTCCTGTAATAAGACATGGTTTGACCTACTCCAGCCTGTGGTGGATGGCTAAGAGGAACTGTCTAGAAAAAAATTAGCAAGTCCTGGCTGAGGTCTCTAGTGTTACTGCACTACAGTTGTCATATGATTAAATGGAATGGTTTACAAAAAGCCTCTGCAAAATAATCACAGTCCACAGACTGTTGAGTTTCATCGCTTTGAAAGGTTTCAGAGATAAAATGGCTAACCACATCCCCAGAATAAGAGAACCAAGGATGAGAGCTTACAAATAACAACCTCCACGTTCTAAGGATCTGGCCCAGAAGATTATTATATTATCCAGTATTAAACAGAAAGAAAAACAAAAGAGGGAAAGATTTTAAGTCCCAGGAATCAGAGAAGGGCAGAGATCAACAAGAACAGAGAGGAGGTGAGATGGAGAATAACCATCTTATTTTGTATCCATTCCCAAATAAGAAAGAACCAAACATGGAGTCAGTTTCCATAGAAACTGAGGAGCTTGCCAGTGTGAGGAACAGTCCTTAAGTGATAAAACCAGGAGGGCAGACAGTATAAAGGAGCGACTACAGAGACACAACCATGAGGCCTTTTCATTTCTGTGACAGTCACAGCACAGACATCATTATGGAGAATATATGGTCAGTATCGCTGACTGCATCTGTGTCTGTGACTCTATCATCAATTCAGGAACTCTCCTAGGGCCACCACCTATGTGAGGTTGTTGTATTAGTTAGGGTTTCTATTGCTGCAATGAAACACCATGACCATAAAGCAAGTTGGGAAGAAAAGGGTTTATTTGACTTATACTTTCAGATCATAGTCCATCATCGGAGGAAGTCAGAACAAGAACTCAGGCAGGCAGAGAACCTGGAGCCAGGAGCTGATGCACAGGGCATGGAGGGGAGCTCCTCACTGGCTTGCTTCCCCTGGCTTGCTCAGCCCACCTTTTTATAGAACTCAAGACCACCAGGCCAGGGATGGCTCCTCCGACCATGGGCTGGGCCCTCCCCCATTGATCACTAATTGAGAAAATGCCTTACAGCTGGGTCTCATGGAGGCCTTTCCTCAGCTGAGGCTCCCTCGTCTCTGATGACTCTACAGCTTGTGTCAAGTTGACACAAAATCAGCCAGCACAGTCGTCTTTGTTTATGCCTGATGAAATTCATGTAACTTCAAATGTTTGTGAAATGTGTGAGTCTAAAATAAATGCCCCAAACTGATATCCAAAATCAGAATTATGAAATAAAGGAAAGATTTTGCTAAAAAAAAAAAACCCAAAAAACTTAAGGAACACAGCACACAGTATTACCTCACAAGTGCTAGCTAGAAATCCTCTTTTGAAGTATCTGCAACTCTGGGAGGAAAAGCAGAATGGGAAGGCTGCTGAGGCCCCAGAGAATCAGTCCCTGTCACCTCCCAGACTATGGGAAAGCTGCTGAGGGCCCAGAGACTCAGTTCCTATCACCTCTCAGCCTATGGGAAGGCTGCTGGCCCAAGAGAATCGGTCCCTGTCACCTCTCAGCCTACAGGCTGTGTCCAGTGAGTCTCATCTTCACTGAGTACAAGCTATGCAAGTACAGCTGCACAGCAAGTTTTGTGCAGTGAGCCTGGACGTCAACATTGGGTTCAGAATTCTGGACAAATAGGAGGAGGAGAGGAAACGGGGTAGCAGAGGACTACAGGCCTGGGAGCAATCCCGTGGTGCAGGTAGCACCCTGTGCTGCTTACGGGGTGACAGCCAGGCCGGCACTCAGAAGGCGGTGAGTCCTCTTACCTTGTTCCTTGACAGAGGCTCTGCTGCCTTTTGCCGAGCGTTCCACAATCAGCTGACTTGTAAAGGTCATGAATTCCTGAACACTGGGGAACACAAACATATGTATAACCTTCTTTCAAGTCACATTGCCCCAACACAATGGAAAGAGACCTCTGAAGTTAAGGAGACAGTCATTGCCTCTTAGTTTTATTTCATTCCCTCCTAACTTTAGAAACAATAATAAACACATTGTATATGAACATAAATGCATATACCACTATTCAAGTCATATCTGTGTACCAACCACTTCCAGAAAGCTCAGACATTTTCTTTAGGCTACGGTCAATTTAACATTTCAATCAAAACATGATTTGGGGTCCAGTGATTTGGCTCTCTAGATACAAGTACCTACTGTCAAGTCTGACAACCTGAGTTTGATCCCTGTAACTCACATAGTGGAAGGAGAGAAATGACTTTCCCAAGTTGTTCTGACCTCCGTAAGCATCCCGTGCGCGCGCGCGCACACACACAATAAAAATGTGACTGAAATTTTTTAAAAAGCCAACATGCTCGGGACCTAGTGGAAAGCAGAAAGCAGCTCCTGTACTAGCTTCCAAGAAGCAGGATAAATACACACTGCTCTAGAAAAACACCAGTGGCAAAAATGGTCAGGCAGAAGCACACCAGTTAGTGCTGTGGCCACAGAATAGCCCTGGCTGGGAATGCCACAGACCTACACACTGGGCGAGAGCTTGGTCAGGTCTGCTGATGCCCCGAGCACTGGGAAAGAACAGCTTAGTCAAGGAAAGAAGTGGAAACAGCTCATAAAGCTGTAACAGACGTTTGTTATGGGCCCAAAGGAAAGCTGTAGACCTGGCCAGAATGGAAGAATTTCAGATGGTCCAGCCAGAGGACAGATGAGAAACCTTCAACTGGAGATGCATGAAAAAGGGCAGCTAGCCCTCAGTAAAAGGGTTGTTTGTTGGTGTTTTGAGGCAGGGTCTATGTAGCCCTGGTTGTCCTGGAACTCTTACATAGACCAGGCTGAGAGGTCCACCTGCCTCTGCCTCTTGAGTGCTGAGATCAAAGGTGTGCACCACCATACCTTGCTGCAGTACAGGACTCTTAACTGAAATATCTGAAGATCTAACTCAGAGATTCAAGACTTACTAAGTGTCAGGCAAATTACTGTGCTGACCTCAGTAGTAAAATCAAGTCTGGTGTGATAGTTAAAACGAGTTAATATATAAAAAGCACCTGGCACCTTGCCTGGCACACAATACACTATTATTATCATGAGGGAATGGCATGGTCAAAATAACCACAAAAAATACTCTTTAAATTTTTTCTTAAATTCTCAAGAAAGCCTTCGCAATAAAACTAAAAAGACTAAAATATTTAGAGCAGGGGTACAGTCCCGTGATTAGGAAGAAGCGCATTAATTGTGAGAGATTATTCAAAGACTTCAGTAATCATGTTGACATGAAAGATGAAAATGAGGGGTCTCACTAGATCGGAACATGTGTCTCTCTGTGTCACGGCTAGTCATCTGAGACTAGCTAATGTAAGGACGCCAAAGAATAAAACAGAGGTACAGTGAAAGCTCTGAGACTCCTTTCATACAAATAGAAAGGGAAAAAATTAAAAGATCAGAGCCAAGTTGGCACCAAAGCTTCCATCAGAGAAAAACACTGTCAAGAACAGAACAGAGGCCAGGGAACATAAAGTAGAGAGGCAGGAAGAACTAGAAGGAGCCAAGAGATGACACAGTGATTCCACTTCTGGGAAAACGCACCACAGAAAACTGTGAGCGGGGTCTCTGTGTGTGTATTCATATGGGTGCACACCTACGTGCAGGTGCCTGGGCACACATGGCACCATTCCTCAGAGGCTATCCGCCTTCGATGAGGCTGGCTTGGCACTCACCAAGTAGGCTAGGCTGGAGGGCCAGTCATTATGCCCTGACCCCCATCATCTGGTCTCTGCTTCCCTGCCAGCTTTGGAAGCACAAGCATGTGCCCCAACACCCGGCTATTTTGTTTTTCAATGTGAGCATGAGAGACCAGACTCAGGCCCTCATTCAGCAAGCACGATCCTGAATGAGGTAATTCCCCAGCTCAAGCTATCTTCCAGCCCCTTGCTGACGTTATTCACATAGCCTCAATGTGCAGCGACTCATGTCCATCAGCAGACAGATGCATAAGCAAAACAGGGTTTACATAAAACCCAATGTTGTATAGACTTTAAAAGGAAGAAAATGTTGGTATCTGCAGCAACATAGATGAACCTTGGGGCCATTCTGCTAAATAAAATCAGTGAGACACAAGAAGACAAACAAACAGTATATGATTCCACTTATATCAAGTCTTTGGAATGGTCAAGATCAGAGACAGAACCCAGAAAGGCAGATTTCCCCAGGCTTTGGGGCAAAATGACCACAGGTCCTATCCTGTTGGGTCCTTCTCCTTTTATATCTGAATCACTCTGCCCACTCCCGCAAATGGACTGGGTGTCTGTGGCACTTCCAATTAAAGCACATCAGACCCCTTTAAAAGCCAGTAAGCCCTACAACTTCAATGCTTCCTTCCAAATCAAAAGTGTGGACCCTTCCTGATCACCAGGGCCTAAACACTAAGAAACAGAAGATGAGTTTGACTTCTAGCTGAGCCCGACGCCCAGTCCTTAAGGAATCAGTGCCTTCAGTCATAAAAAGAATGCCTCCATACCTCTCGCACAGGTTGTCGGAAAGGGCTCTGACCAGCGGTTCTCAACATGTGGGTGGCAACCCCATCGACCACCCTCTATTTCCAAAAATATTTACATTACTATTCACAACAGTAGAAAAACTACAGTCATGAAATAGCAAGGAAAATAACATTATGTTGCGGGGGGGGCGGGGGGGGGGCGGGGCGGGGAATGGTTCATCACAACCTGAAGAACTCTATCAAGGGGTCGCAGCGTTAGGAAGGCTGAGAACCACCGGCTGTAACCAACTACAAAGGTGGCTGTTAAGGTACCAAACACTCTGGTTAAATCACAGGGTGCGAGGTGGTAGTCAACATACTTATTTCTGGGTCTCGATCTCCTACCTCCCAACATTCGGCAGGGAACCTGGTCCTCCGCACGATTTGCAAGTCTTCTTTCTAATCTTTCCACAGCAGGGCAATACTGTGGGGTGGCAGGGCCTTTGCCAGGGATGCTGGCTCCTCCTCCTCCTCCTCCTCGGGCACAGCCCGCCGCCCTCCCGGACCCGACCCCGACCCCAGGCCTCCCGGTCCGGCCCCCCGGGCCCGGCCCACTCACCTGGACCTCTGGAAGAAACTGAAGGAAGACACGTCGTACGCGGCTTTGAGCAGCACCGCTTTGGGCTCGCTTTTGTAAAGGACGCTGAGGCTGTACAGCTTCATGGCGCCGCACCTTCGGGCCGCCGGCCGGACCCCAGAGCCGCTCCCAGGAGCGCGGCCGCCGTCCTCCAGAACAGCCGCGGCCGGCTGCTGACGGGGCCGCGCCGGCTTCTTCCTCCTGGCTTGGGGGGGGTCCACTTCCGGTTCCGGTCGCGGGTTGCGCTTGACGCGCTACGGAGGCCGGAAGACAGAGCAGGCGCGTGCGCGTGCGTGCCTCGGAGAGGCGGGACGCGGCCCGGTCTGCGGAGATCGGTGCCAGGAGGAGCGGTCTCCGCCTGCGTGGCAGTGATTTGGTGCGTTCCCTTCCGGGCTGTGGCGTGGGCCCTGACTGGCGATCCTAGACAGTGCCGCGCCGTGCCGTGCCGTCGCTTTTACCTCCTCGCCCGGTAGAATGGCAGCCCATCCCTGTCCCTGCGCTCTACTTCTCGGTACACCTTACAAGTCACAGCACCAGGCTAACCAACCCTCTTCCCTGCGTATCCCCAAAACAGAGGAGTAAAAGAAAATGTCCTCAATCCCTTCCGTTGCAATAATAGACATCAGAAACGTCACTGGCGGTGGCCAGGCCCAGCAACTCCTGATACGGGCACACTTGTTCGACCAGCCAAGCGGCCAGATGCTGTCATCCGGCCCCCTTCACCTGCACGGACACAGTGGCTCTGCAGGCGGCAGATGAGAACCATTTCTGTAGAAAATCTCTTCACCTAAAATTATACAAAATGACCAGGAGGACAGTGGGTGGGTGCAAACCACATCGCAGAGAGAGATTCAGGAAATGGTTAGTAAGAGGCAGAGCTGGGGTTCAACCGTGAATCCTAAAACGCTCAACAAACTCCCTTGCAGCCCACCTCCACTCCTGGCGCTCAGCCTCCCTTGGCTCCGGGAAGTCTCATCTGATCATATGCAAATTTCCCAAGCCACGCTTGTTAATGTATTGAGAAGGATACTTGTCTTCCACTCCATTTCCCCAGCTGTTACCCAACTTGAATTCAGCCCCAGTACTCCCATTCCACAAAAGTGAGGGTTCTCCCCTCACCATCTGTTAAACTTGAAAAATATCCTTTTTGTAGACGTGTTGCTAAAAACGATAAAGTATAATATTCCAAGCCCTACTCATAGCAGATGTTTAACAACGATGATTATTTGCATTGTTATCTATGTTCAATTAAGAAAGAAAGAAAGAAAGAAAGAAAGAAAGAAAGGAAGGAAGGAAGGAAGGAAGGAAGGAAGGAAGGAAGGAAGGAAGGAAGGAAGAGAAAAAGAAAGAGAAAGCAAGACGAGCTTATGATAGGTTAAAGGTGCCCTACAGGCTGTTGGAAGCAGAGATTTAAAGACAGGCTAAGATCTGAGCAAGATCTATAGATTAGATAATAGCATTGCTGCTCTGGTCATAAAGGGAAATTCTCTGGTTTTTTTAGTCTTTAATTTCTTTATTTTTTTTGACTCCGTGGTAACTCAGTAGAGAGTTGTTCAGTTTCCCAGAGTTTGTAGGCTCTCTGTTGTTGAAATATAGCTTTAATTCATGGTGGTCTGATAAGATACAGGGGATTATTTCAATTTTCTTGTATCTGTTGAGACTTGTTGTGACTGAGTATGTGGTCAATTTAGGTTCTCTGGTTTTATGAATAGAAATAAATGAACATCATGTATACAACTTATTCATGAAGAGCTCATATGCATATATACATATAAATACCTACACGTAGTTATATCTACATATATATCTATATACATGTGTATATGTATGAGTGCATATGAACATATACATATATATGCCTGTATTGGGGTTCTCTAAAGGAACAGAACTGATAGAATAAATATACATCTATTAAAAGAGGATTTATTAGATTGGCTTCAGGATGCTGTACAAGTAGTCCAGCAGTGGCTGTCTCACACTGGAGAGGCCAAGAATCTGGTAGTTGCTCAGTCCATGAGACTGGATGTCTCAGCAGACTCAATCTAGTGTTGAAAGTCGGGAAGATTCCTGGTGTCTTAGGTAGGGTTTCTATTGCTGCAATGAAACACCATGACTGAAAAGCAAGTTGAGGAGGAATGGGTTTATTTGGCTTACACTTCCACATTGCTGTTCATCACTGAAGGAAGTCAGGTCAGGAACTCAGACAGGGCAGGAGCTGATGCAGAAGCCATGAAGGGGTGCTGCTTATTGGCTTGCTTCCAATGACTTGCTCAGCCTTTTTTTTTTTTTTTTTAAGATTTACTTATTTATTTATTATGTATACAACGTTCTGTCTGCCTGCAGGCCAGAAGAGAGCATCAGATCTCGTAAATGGTTGTGAGCCACCATGTGGTTGCTGGCACTTGAACTCAGGGCCTCTGGAAGAACAGCCTGTGCTCTTAACCTCTGAGTCATCTCTCCAGCCCTCAGCCTTCTTTCTTATAGAACCCAGGACCACCAGCCCAGGGATAGCATCACCCACCATGCCCCCGCCCCTTGATCACTAAATGAGAAAATGCCTTACAGCTGGATCTCATGGAGGCATTTCCTCAACTGAGGCGCCTTCCCTTCTAAGGACTCTAGCTTGTGCCAAGTTGACATGCATAACTAGCCAATACACCTGGAGAGACTGGTCTTCAGCCTCCATTTGAATTCCTAAGAATTTGGTTCTAATATAGGTGAAGGGATGCTACAGCAACAGAGTGGTAGCCAGCAGGCAAAAAGCAAAGTTTCCTTCTTCCATGACTTTCTATCGGGATTACTACCAGCCGGTACTGCACAGATTTAGGGTGGATGCTTCATTTAATTTGCTCAAGAAAATCCCTCACACAAGTGCCCAGTAGTTTGTGTTTTAAATTGATTTCAGACACAGTCAAGTTCACAACCAAGGTTACTCATCACAATGCCAAAGACAAAGCAAATACAGTAGAGAAGATTTAGGGATCCGGATGAAGAGTATCTAGAAGCTCCTGCACTGTCCTTGTCGTGGTTCAGGAGACCCGGGAATGTGGGGAGAGAAGAGCTTGCAAGGGTGAATCACTGAGACAATCGTCAGCTGCGGGGTGGTTTAGCTCTGTGTCCAGTCTCCCCCTGAGTCCTGAGATGCTGAAGAAAAGCCCCTTTGCAGGGCAGGAGAGATGGCTCAGTGAGTAAAGGCATCTGCTGCAAGCCTGACGACTCGAGTTTGATCCTCAGCACCCACACGGTAGAAGGAGAGAACCAAGTCCCCCAAGTTACCTTCTCACTTTCGCATGCACACAGTAACATACATGCCAATCCCCTGCATAATCAACATGTATGCATGCACACTAACACATATAATAATATTATTATAGAAAATAACATAATGAAAATTTTAAGATTTTTTTTAATGTGTATGACTGTTATTCGAATTCTTTTATTTGATTTTGTTTTTCAAGATAGGGTTTCTCTGTACAATAGTTCTGGCTGTCCTGGAACTTGCTTTGTAGACCAGGCTGGCCTCGACCTCACAGAGGTCCACCTGCCTCCGCCTCCCAAGTGCTGGGATTAAAGGTGTGAGTCACCGCCCGGCTGCACCACCACTGCCTGGCATGTTATTTTTTGCATATATGTGCATGTGCCACGTGTATGCATGGTGCCCATGGTGGCCAGAAGAGGGCATCCCATCATTCGATTCCCTGGAATTAGAATTACAGGTGATTATTCGCTACCATGTGGGTGCTGGGAACCAAACCCAGGTCCTCTGCAAGAGCAGCCAGTGCTCTTAAGCACTGAGCCGTCTCTCCAGATCCTAATTTTATTTTACTTTTTTGTTTTTTTCTTGACAGGGTTTCTCTGTGTACTTTTGGTGCCTGTCCTGGATCTCACTTTGTAGACCAGGCTGCCCTTGAACTCACAGAGATCTGCCTGCCTCTGCCTCCTAAGTGCTAGGATTAAAGGTGTGCGCCACCGCCACCCGGCTCAGATCCTATGAGATACCCCTTCCATGTAAACATGTCTGTTGATGCTATACTTGCTCAGGTCTTGTTTAGGCAGCCATATTGTTTAGATATCATGGGTAAAACTTCCTTATCATTTCTAAGAGACACAATCTCACAGCAACCCCACCCCTCACAGTGTGAGGCAGGAGCCCTCTGGATGGTTAGTGTCGGTGTGATGAGGTCTGGTCTGGTGCAGGAGTAGATGCTCTTGACTAGCTCAGGATTGGGCCAGCCAGGCCTTGTGGATCAGTGGCATCCATAGCCCAGGCTACAGTTTCCTTGTAGGGACTCTTCCTTTGTGACTGTTGCTATGGGTGTTGCCAGGGTTGGGTTGGTGTGCCTACCTCCGAGGGCATACCTCTTTGTCTTGCCTTTCCTCTGTATACTGCCGTTCTCAGGTGGGACCCACGCCCACCCACCGAGGCTGAGGGAAATCTGGGCAGGCTCTGGAGCAGGAGTAGCCCCTGAAGGCTCTCCTGACTGCTCCTCCATTTCTCTGAAGCTCGCCTTCCACTTCCGGTGTCGTGCTGACCACAGCCGCCAAGCATCACGGATAGGAGAAGCAAGCTGCCTCACACTGCACAAAAAGCCGCCCTGGGATCTGTGAGAGTAGTAGGAAGCCAGAACAAGAGGAACGCCACCAGAATGCCGGATACTCCTGACACAGTCACAGAGTGACCAGTTGTTAAATAGGCAGTTTGAAAAGTTTGGGGCTGGGGTTGCCGTGCACAGATTTGATAACGAACACAAATCCTCGGCAGACCCTGACCCTGGGAACATCACTCCCCTAACCCGTCACTGGAACGTCCCAGTTTCCACTGGGTTCTCCAGACAGCAGAGTAGACATGATCTGCCACATATTTTTATTTCTGCCACTGGCTGTGTCAGGACAAAGGAAGGGCAGGGATGAGACCGTACTTGGCAAGACTAGACTTCCACACATGGCCATGCATTCCCATTTCAAATGTCTGGCATTTGTCCAGTACATTTAGTCCTCAGCCAGGGAAGGCAGTCCCTAGGACAAATAGAGCTTTGGGAAAGCCCCTGCAGGGAAGGCAGTCTGTAAATCCCAGACTCACTAACTCAGAAAGCTCCTATATGGTTGGTTCATCTGTCTGTGTCTTCCTTGGCTGTTGGTTATCAAATCTGTGCACAGAGAGAGAAGACTTGCTTAGCATGAATGAGGTCCTGGGTTCTATCCCTAGCACACACCACCTGACCATCATGGTCTCTGGCACAGGGAATCCAGGATGGACATCATCCTGGGTGGCCCAAGTGAGGAAGGCACACTAGTGGTGGCTTGTGACGCTCAAAACACACAAGAAGGGTTTTCCAGGTCAAATCTACAGCCTGTTTGCTCAGCCAAGGTCATGGGAAAGCCAGGAAATCTACCAAAAGAACAGTGTCAGCTACAGGATTTGGCAGCTCCCACGTGGAGGAGAAGCCGAGGCACATGGTTTCATGCAAGAGGTGTCTCATAGGCACCCCCCCTTAAAAAAGAGCTACAAGCAGCTCAGGAATGCTGAGAGCAGGAGAAACAGGATTCCCTTTTATGAACCCCCAATGGGTTATCCAATACCAAGCGGTCAGCCCTGAAATCATAAAAACAAAGTAACCTTAACCAGACTGAACAGGCTGTAGTTATATATTTATGCATATATATAAAAAACAATAACAAAGAAGAAAGGTCATGCATTAGAGAGGAAGAAAGGTGGGGGTAGGGGCATGAAAGGGGTTGGAGGGGAGAGAAGGGGGAAATTATGCAATTATCCTTTAATTTCAAAAAATCAAAAATAAAATAAAATATTAGAATGGAAGGTGGAAGATCAATTTTAGTTTTACAGCTTGGGAATGGAAAAGGCTTTCTTTAACAAACAGAAATCCTTCAGATAAGAAGAGGCTGGAATTCATGAAAGTGGATACTTCTGTATGATGCAAGACACCATTAGTCAAGTTGTAAATTTAACAGCAAACTGTGAATTTTAGATGGAATATAAAAATTGTTCCCACAGCTAATAGGTAGAAAACAGGTCAATAACAACATAGTTAATTGAACAAGTAATCCTTAAAAAATTGAGAGGCCTAGCAAGTTGGATGAGGAGAAGATGGTTTTATGTGTGTGAAAAAAGATGCACTTGAATGAACATGCCCTCATTTTGTACACTTAATACACGTGCTAATAAATACTTTCAAAAGAGGAAACGCTAGGGCTGGAGAGACAGCGCAGTGGTTAAGAGCACACACTGCGCTTCCATGGGCCCTGAGTTCAATTCCCAGCACCCACATCAGACATCTCACAACTGGCCGAAACTCCAGCTCTAGGGGATCTGGTACCACTGGCCTTCATAGGCACCTGTACCCACTGCACACACTCACACAGTGACACACACACAATGAAAGAGAAGAAACACAAGAATCAATAGACACATAAGAAGAGAGCCGTCACTTCACAGTTCAAACAGCAACGAGAAGACAGAAAAACCACCGAGATTTATCTTCTCAGTGATTGCTGACAATGTAGTCAGACTCCTACTGTTGGCAGAAGTATTAATAGATGGGTAAATCTGCTTGAAAAGGTCATGTGGTCCTAGCTGCCAAAAATGTAAGATGCATACATCCTTTGAACCAGAGGTTTGCTTCTACAAACCATCAATGACAAACCACTCATACATATTTACTCAGGCAAAATGCCAAGATTTCTATTCCAGCCTTCCCGAAAACTGAAAAACTGAAACTGTCAGTGGAAGTTGATTTCAAAATACAGTATCCAGAAAGTTCTACCTACCATTCTAGCTCACTCCCCCCCACCATTGAGTTTCAGAACAGTAGTGGCTCAGGTCAGGGGTTGGGAGCCACCCCATTTAATGAAACAGTCACTAGCCACACTGACTGTTTGAAAAAGGCCAGGCCTGATTGAGAAGGGCTGTAAGTGTGAAATGCACACAAGACCTCAGAGTTCTGGATCAGAAACTCTGCCTTTTGCTCCAGACCACTGGCACAGATTGAATTCTCAGCCTGAACCCTGGCTTCCAGTTCCATTGCCTAGATCTTCCCACTGCAGAGGCCAGCTTCACTAGGAACATCTGGGCTGTGGTCGTGAACATCTGTGGTGCAGTTATACCCTGGGCTGGGGCTTCCTGGGCTACAAACCCACACAGTCACATGGGCCTCCGTTTTAGCAGTGTAGACCCAGCTGGGTTTGTGTGGCTCAGGCCCGCCATCCAGTTCAGGTTTTAGAACAGGAAAGGAAAGCAGCAGGAAACTCCTAGCAGTTCCTAGTACACACAGTCAGGCTGGCAGCCGGGAAAGGCCGAGTCTTCTCCTCTGTCTGGTTCTCGGACACAGGCTCCTTAGTAAGTGTGACAGGCACTGACCTGGGAACTAAGCAGGTGGTAATGTCTACCAGGCCGGCAGTCACTGTGGTGACAGAGCGACAGAGTGGTCACCATGGTGACGGGAGTAGAAGCCTTTGGCCATCAGTCCCAGTTTTCTGCATGGTAGCTCTAATGACAGAATGGTCACCATAGAAACCACAGGCCCTCTCAAGAGCACAGAGGCCCTGGCAGGAGAAATCTACTCCACACCTGGTAGGAACAGAAGCACCAACTCTAACGGAGCCCAGAGAAGAAAGCCAGGGCGTGAGGGACACAGTTACCTGTCACCTCGTTCCTCAAAAGCCATCCCCAAGCCACTGGAGGGAGAGACCTTTTCTGCTGAGTCTGTCTGGAGGCCCTCCCAGCTCAGCACCACTGGAATCAAGTCCATCAACACTGAGGACATTTCCCTGGAACCACATGGCTCCTCCTGGAGAACGCCGGGCCTGAGGTGGCCTCGGTGGGGAGGGGTCCAGAAGGGAACATGAAAAGGAGGAAACTGTGACTTCAACCAGCTGAGGCGGACTGCACTCTCCGAGGCCTAGTGCTGGCTGTGACTGTGTGGGAGAATCCTGGGCTAGGTCCGCTTTGGAGACCTGGTGCGGAACACTGAGGGGTCCCAGCTCCCCCGGGCTGGCAGCTGCTCAGATGCTGGATGACAGAATCAGGATGGAGGCCCCCAAGAAGGAAAAGGTATCTACCTCATTTTAGAAGCGTCCGTTTGCACGTCTCCAACACTCAGAGGCTTGACTGCCACCTCTGAGGGTCTGCATCTCAGAATTGGTTTTTGTGTACAGGATCTTTAAGAAAGATGTGGCTGGGAGCATTTGTGGGGCAGAGAGATCTCTGGTTCCTAGACTGGCGTTGTGACCCAGGAGTGGCGCCGCACAGAGATCTGGGAAGCAGTCTGCTGAGAGACTCTGAGGTGGGGAGAGCCTATGGGGTGTTGGGGTGTTGGGGTGAGATGAACCTACTACCTAATTTTGAGGTAGTACTGAACAGTCACCAAAAGTCAAAGGCCTCCTCCTCCCCCTCCCCCTCCTCCTCTTTCTCCTCCTCCTTGCTGGAAGCAATTCACCAGGGGCCTGAGGGCGGCTGCTCCATGTTGAAAAGCATAGGGTAGTCCCTTTCTCCAACAACAGAGAGTTCCAGATGTCAGTGCTGGCCCTGGGCTGAGCAGTGAGCAAGGAGAGAGATGAGGACCGGACATGTTTGCTATGAAACATGAATGGAGAACCCACTCCTGTCTCCCATTCGGGAGATGACAGGATTCCCATTCTGAAGTGAGCAGGATTCAGTCGTTTGGGGCATGGTTTCCCCCGGCTTCTCTCCTCTTTGTGTGAAATGGCAAGGTCAGCATAAACACCCCTTAGCCTGCTTCTGGCAGAGCCGATGATGTTAGAAGAAAAACAACCAGCCAGCCAGCCTGAGTGAGAGGACCCGCACCGTTCAGGGGGCGACAGACCAGGATGCCAACAGAGTCCCACGTGTGCCTGCCACTGGTGCTCTGGTTTAGTTAAGAAGTGCCAAACAAGAGGACCACTTCCCAACACTTGGGCAGAAGGAAGCTGGTGTCTTTAGCACAGGGTGGCTGGAGATATGGCGATTCTCCATACTGGGAAAGAAACTATGCAGTGTCTGCATATGTGTTTGCCTGCTTTAGGTAGGCAGTGAATCACGGCAAGGCCTGACACTCACTCCTTTGAGGTCTGGACCTCGCCCGCTAGCAGGGAGATGGGATGTATACATACATGTGTGTCTTGATGCTTCTCTGTTTTCATTTCTACCTCCCCTCTTCAGAGAACTGCAGGGTCAGCTCTCCTTGTAAGCTGTTGTCTATGCCCTGGCTTCCCAGGGGTCCTTTGGGGCCCCCCAAGAATCTTTAAAGCACACACATGAGTATGCTTGTCTATGTCTAGCGTGTGCATAGGGGTCCCTGACTTGGTCAAGCAAGGCACAGGTAGACTCTCAGCTAATGCAGCGAGAAGCTGCTGGCAGAACTGGATTCAGAAGGCACTAGATGAACTACCCCGATTCCCCAAGACTCGTCATCCTCCTCATTCCTGTGCTTATCTCCACAGGCTGTGTGTATCCAAATCTCTAGTTCCCTGTAGCCTCCACTACTGAGTTGCTACATCTGAGTCCTGCCAGATGGAATCTTCCGCAGCCCGAGGCCAGATCTGTGCTTCCCTCTGACTCCCCAGTATGAGTCTGTCCCTGAGGGAGGTGATGTCTGGACCTCGGTGGACAGACAGGTCAGGCTGACTCTGGAGGCTGCCACTTGGGCCTCTTTGGGCCTATGACTGATTGCTAATTAATTAGAACAATGCTGTTTGTCTCCACCAGCTGCTAAGAGGAAGGAGAACTGCCTGTCGGGATGGTCAGCTGCAGGGCATAAGATAGCCACACTAAGGAGATGGGTAGACACACTAGAAATGTGAGCACTGAGCTAAACAGACCTACAGGTCCTGCCCTGTGCACTGGGAGTCTCCTGTCACCACCGAGCCTAAGAACCAAAAACAGCACACACTTGTTATTATGTTGAAGCTCTGGGGTCTGAAGTGGATCTCCTGGGGTTAAAATAAAGGTGTTGACAGAACTGGCTCCTTCAGGGAACCCATTGCCTTCCCCTTCAGGCTTCTACAGGCCAGTCAAATTCCTGGGCTCACGATCCCTTCTGTATTCAAGGGTGGGCAGCTGCATCTCTCTCCCCTAGGCTTCCATCATCAGGAGCCTCCGCCTCCCCTGCCCCTGTGATAACACCGGCCCAAACAGATAATCCGGGACCATCTCTGTCACTCACTAACTCACATCTACCAAGTCCCCTTACCACACAGTGACAGGTCCCCAGGGTTGGGACATGTAGGAACTATGACTCTGCCTCTTCTACCATCTGTCTCCCACATTACTAACCCCAAGCACGAGCTCTTCCTTGACTCTCCCTGAAGTCCCACGGCCTTATCCATTATTAGCTCACTGGGTTTGGGAACATTCTCTCGTCAGCAGCAGATGTGGCCAAGTCCAGGCCACACCCCCATCTGTAGTTTCACTTTATAATTTCATGCACCTGTGGCCTATAGCTATCCAAAAATATTATGCAGAAAATTCCAAAAATAAGCCAACAAGAAGCTTTAAAGACTTCCTTTTTACTTTTAATTATGTGCATACACATGTCTATGTCTGGGAGTGTGCACATGTGGGTCCAACTGCCCTCAGCGTCTAGAACAGGGCGTTGGATCCCCTGGAGCTGGAGTTACAGGTGGTTGTGAGCCATCCAGCATGGGTGCTGGGAACTGAACTGTGTTCCTTTGCAAGGGTAGTCTGTACTCTTCAGTGCTGAGCCATCTCTCCAGCCCCCCAACGTAAGTTAAAAATTGTATGTTGTTCTACATAGTATGATGGAACATCTCACATCCGTCCCTGTAAATGGTACTTTGGTCAAAGTGTATCCACTATTCTCTGTATAGCCACATATAGCATAGGCTACATTTGCTACCTGCCCAGTATTCATTTGGAAGCTGTCTCTGTTATCAGATTGACAATATCTCAAACTTGCGTTCAAGTAACATTTCTGTGGCAGTCTGACTGCTTCGTGATGCCCAGCGCCATTCCCTCATCCTGTCTCTTTGTACAGGTACAAAGGTACAAAGGTATTGTATCACCTCCTCTCACAGAAGGGAGAACACAGTAGAGCAGTATAGTTTGAAAGAACACTTATCACGGAATATTGTTATAATTAATCTGTTTTATTATTCGTTGTTGCTGCTAACCTCTTACCATGCCAAATTTATAAATTAAACTATATCATGGGTATGAATAAATAGGAGAGCTGCTGTATATATAGGACTCTTTGTCTCCTAGGTCTTCAAGTGTCCACTGAGGTCTTGGAATGCACAGCCCCCTCCCCACTAAGGATAAGAAAAGCTTATTTTACACACAGAGTTTTAATTAAGTTTTTACATTTAAATATAAAACAACCACATGAAACCATTGCCTTTCTGGGTAGCACTGAGGAGGATACGGGAGTGGGGTGGGTTCTGCTCGGATTTTTCCAGGGTCACAGCCTTTGCATTTCATGCTAAAGCCTCCTGTGTGGCCCAGTGTGCCAGGGAGCAGGTGGGCGAGAGGAGGGAGCTCCTGACACGGACAGATCTTTAGTGTGCTGTGAATGGCACACACACATCCTCAGCCTTCCTGTCCAATGTCACCTTGCTGAGCAGCCTGCATGGAGGGAATACTGTCTGTCCCTTGGCTGTTTGTCCCAGGAGGATTCTGAAGTAGGAAATACCTTCAGGGTAAATGGGGGTCTTCCAGTTCCTGAGTACAGGAGAGAGACCACCGATGCAGATCCATGGAGACAGGAGTCAGTTCTCTCCCACCTGTCCCACTCCCCATACACTCTTGGTATTTGACTGCTTCTGTGTGCCAAGGACTCCCAGTGCCCCTTCCACTGCCAGGGAGAGGGCCTCCCGCTGAAGGAAAAGAGGTCCTCACAGAGGACTGTGGGCCTGCCCTGCTACTGACTTCTTGAGTCATGAAAGCAGAGCCTGAGGTGAGGGCTCTGTGCTTGCGAGTCCCTCTGAGGCAGGTCCAGT